GAGGCACAGAATCTGAAACAGGCTCCAGGCTCTGAGCTGGCTGTCAGCAGAGAGCCCAATGTGGGGCTCGAACCTACGAACTGTGAGATCATGACCTGAGCCATGGCTCAGACAGTTGAGCATCTGACTTCAGCTCAGGTCATGATCTCACTGTTCGTGAGTTCAAGCCCCGCATCGGGCTCTGTGCTGACAGCTCAGAGCCTGGGGCCTGTTTCACATTCTGTGTCTACATCTCTGTCTGCCCCTCCCCCACTCGTGCTGTCTCTCTGTCTCTCAAAAATAAATAAACATTAAAACAGTTTTTAAATAAAATAAAAACAAAGTGTAAGTTGTGTAAATTTTAGATTGCCTGTCCTTATAAACCTCCCACGGGACAGAAATGACTGGTCATGGTAAGATTCTGTCCCAGCCCCCTCACCACATTTAAGCTGGAAATGAACCCTTGATGGCAACATTAAAACATCAAATGACAGTTACATGTTCTGCTATGTAAAGTTTCTCTTTTGCCAAAGGTGCCTGGAGATTTTGCCTTCTTTTAGTAAAAGAGATGCCAGTCACAATTTGCTGACACCGTTTTACACAAGACAAGGAAAAAAACCTAATTATATCCTTGGGTGACATCAAAAACTTGAGTGGGTAGATCAGTAGAATGCGTTTTCTGCAAATAGTATCTCCTGCATGCTGTCTTCATTTCACAGTATCATCATGGACTGAGGGATTTATGCCTTTTTTGGATTTGGCTAATTTCATGTACTTCGTTGTGGAGCTGATGATGCCTGAGGCTCAAATTCTCATAACGTGGCCGTCAGAGGGCCTGTCAGCATTCTTCCTTTTCCGTCTCAGCACCAGCGTGAACATCTTGGAAAGCATCTGTGCTGCTCGGTAGCATTATGTCTCAGCTGATTTTGTGTTTGTGCCTGCTCCAAGACTTGGTGTCAGTCACCGCCTTGGCAGCTTCGGTTCCTTTCAGTGACAAGGAGTATGAGACAGCAGTGTCTGGTGTACACACATGTACTATTTGTAGGCAGGATGATACCGGAGCGTGTTTGGGCCCATTTTTAGAGTCAGGGTGAAGAAACGGGGGGGTTAACTATTTTTAAGGTCACAAGTTCATATTGGTGTTTTCACTGTAAACTGAAATTCCTGCCTTAGTTCTGAAAACTTTTGAGCTCATTTTCTTTTTCAGGCTGCTCACTGTTCTTCTCTCTGTCAGCCTTCATCTGTATTGCTCCACTCAGCCATGAGTTTAAAAAACCATTTATTTGTTTTTAATGTTTATTCATTTTTGAGAGACAGAGTGCGAGGAGGGGAGGGGCAGAGAGAGAGGGATACACAGAATGTGAAGCAGGTTCCAGACTCTGAGCTGTCAGCACAGAGCCCAACGTGGGGCTTGAACTCACAGACCATGAGATCATGACCTGAGCTGAAGTCGGACACTTAACCAACTGAGCCACCCAGCCGCTCCTCTTTAAGTCACGATGTTATGTAAAGCTTTAGAAACCTCTCTTACACCAGTTTCATCTTATTCCAGTTTGGATTAAAGTAATATCCCGTAATAAACTCATAGTTCCTCATTTCAAGGGGGCTTTACAAAGAATACATGTGTTTCAACATGAGACAATTCTGTTAAGTAAATCAGGGTTGTATAGTGACCCTATGGGCCTTATTTCTTTTTTTCTCGACTTAGGCATTTTCCACGTAGCGTTAAGTTCATATGATAGCTTCAACAGACACAATTCTGATTATTTGAAAAGAAACCCCCCACCAACCTACCCCCAAAAGAACACCACACCATACTACTCGAGCCATAACGCCTAGTACCTCAGCTATTACTCTGCAAATATAGGGCGTGGTGATGTCAGCAAGAACACAGACGGAAACAGGCTTTTGAGATTTTCTTGAAAACTCGTTACATTTTCATTTCATGAGCCAAAATATACTCTTTGCTTTTTGTTCATTTACATTTTTTATTCCTAACCGTGGTTTACTTCTGCCAAGCCCGTTTTAATGTTGGACTTCCCTTTCTCAAGGCCTGGGAAGGAAGACAAATTCAAATATTCATGATGGGGTCCTTCTGTATTCTTTCAGGTTGTAGAAGTATACATTTGCACACAAAAATTGGTTCTTGTTGCGGATTTTGGAAAATAAAAACACTACACGTAATCGCGATCCTTTTTGCAGTCCTCTTGCTCAGAGGTAACTTTTATCTTAAAGTTCCTTCAGAGTCTTCCTTTGAAAGTCTGCATGTTTCCCATAGTTGTGAGTGTTTATATCAACAATGAATGAATGGTGTTTGGTCCTTAAAATTTACATAAATGGTAGGGTGTAAACCATTTTGTCACTCGCTTTTGTATCAAATGTTTTTATTCGAGATTTTTCCAGACTGATGTATGTAAATTTATCTCATTCTTTTTGGTTGCTGTGTTGCATTTCGTTGTATGTAAATGCATTAATTTCTCAACCTGTGGGTAGCTGTTTATGTGACCTCACCTTTTTTTTTTTTTTTTTTTGCTCTTTTAACCAATGTTTTATTGAACACCTTCATATTCCCTTAGGTACATGTGGAATAATTTGAAAATATAGACTTAGAATTGGATGCTGAGTTGTAGACCAAATATATTGTTATCCTTTATAACTAAACTATTCTTTAGAGTCTGCCAGTGCGTGAGAACTCTTATTTTCCCCTACAGATTCTTAGAGACTTGTTAATTTTAGGCAACCTGATGGTTATAGTAACTAATCATTATTTCAGCTTGCATTTCCCTGAACACTAATAAGACTGAGCATCTTTTCATAGTTTATTTGTATTCTGGTCTTCACATCTGTGAATTTCTTTTAAAAATGAGGGGCACCTGGGCGGCTCAGTCAGTTAAGCATCCAACTCTTGATTTCAGCTCAAGTCAAGATCTCACACTTGGTGAGTTCGAGCCCTGCGTTCGGCTCTGTGCTGACAGTGCGGAGCCTGCTTGGGATTCTCTCTCCCCCCCCCCCCGCCCCTCCCCTGCTTGCATTACCCCCCCATAAATAAACTTTGTAAAAAATAAAAATAAAAATGAAACAGTAAAGGAACGTGAAACTAACAGTTGGGATTCCCTTTATTCACTCAATGAAGAATGTCTACTCTGTGCTAGCCACTGTGTTGGCTCTCAGGTCCGTGAGGAAATTATACAAAGCCTCGCAAGTCAAACAGATTTTTAAAACAATGTTTAGAGATGCTGTGTTCTAGTCTTAACCAGAGCCCCAATGGCCGACAACAGCAATAAGAGCCATCAAGTCTTCCCTTGCACTGTAGAGCCAGTTGGTAGCCCCTCCTAGGCGGGAGCTGCCAATCGATGGAAGTCCCTGCCCGCATGAGCATTCACCCATCTGAAGCCTGTGAGAAGGAGCTGAAGGGCTGAGAGAAGCATTTCTTCGGGGAAAGTTGTCCCTGTTCCAGGCATCCCTCCGGAATGTGTACGATGCTGATGCTCTAGGAACGCATGACGTCGCTCAGGCAGAATGTATCACCTGGGAAGAGTGAAGGGGTGGAGGACAGAGCCTTTTGGAACCAGTACCGATGGGACGAGCAGAAGAAGGTGAGCCTGCCCAGGAAAGACTGAAGACTGATCCAGGAAGTGGGAGCAGACCTTTGGTGTTCCATCTAAAAAGTCATTGCCGGACCCAAATTTATCTATGTTTATTTTTTCTCCTGTGTTATCTTCCAGGAGTTTTACAGTTTGCATTTTATACTGAGGTCTGTGTTCCAGCTTGAGCCATTTTTGCAAAGGGTGTAAGGTCTGTGTGACCTGCTCTTTATCTAGGCCAAATCTCGGGATGGTGGCAAGAAACCCTGAGGAATGAGGTCATGTTTCCCTCCAGGGCCAACAGCACCTTTGGCAGATGTGCCTACTGCTTGTGGTAAAAGTAGTGCATTCCCTAAACGGTGCCGTCTTTTCTTTGTAGCACAGAGCAGTGCAAATGCAAGCGTCTCTGAGCCCTCTGCATTGCCCCTGTGGGACCCGGGGGCCGGGAGAACCAGCACACAGACGCTGGTGACCATACTGCTTGATTTGCTGTGCACACAAGAAAGTCCTGTCTCTCTGACCCAAGAACCATGTGTGAAACATTAATGGTGAATAACGCATTAGCTTCTATGGAGGGTAAAGTCAAATGACCAAACTGACAATTATATGATGAAAATTAGGGAGGGTTAGGCCTCTGAAAAGTAATTTGTTCAAAGGTTTCCCAAAGAAGATTGTACAGAAACAGGAGGTAGTAACATAACAAGGTATTCAGGATACTGAGAAGTAACAAAGTTTATATCTGAGGCAGTGTTTTATGTCATCAGTGGCTTTACACGCACACCTATTATAGGGACAGTGCTCCGAGTTGGTTTGGAAAGGAGAGGACAGTAGTTCTTTTCTGAAAACGCTGTTAACCTTGTTTTGAAATGAGTAGAAGTTGTTTCAAGGGATTAGAAACAGTTGCACACAGGCAGGCCTCCATCTTCTGGGCATGGGGCCCACACAATCCGGTGGCATGCTCTGCTGTCAACATAGATAAAGCTGGTTTCGTTTATGAGGTTTCCTCTTTATGTCTTTATTTTCCTTCATCAATGCATCTTTGGGCCAAAGTCTGTAATGGTCACTTTTCCGTGTCACCAGAGGGTATAAAAGCCTTAAGGAGTGTTCTGGGAAAGTAGAATGGATTAGTAGGCTGAGGGCACAGAGGACGGCTAGTGAGAGAGACCATCCCGGGCAAAGGATAGTGCAGATATTATATATGTTACTGCCTTCGTCCTTCATCCTGCCTTCTCATCCTTGATTTGTTGGCTGACTCCTTGAACACGATTGAGTTATACATTCCCCAGTCACGTGAATTTCAGCTTTTCAGAAAGGTGAGCCACAGAACAGTTTTATCCTAACCTGATGTCATCAGATTCTAGAGTCTGCTGTCATCACATTCTGGGTTATTGCCATGTTAATTCCACATGCAGCTTAAGCATTCAGTCTTCTGACCTGTTCCACCTACACAGGGCATTTTAAGGCTTAAAGATGATAGCTTAGAAAGGAAGGGAAAAATTTACTTTGGATTAAATTCAATATGGGAAAATGCTTAAGGTAAGCCTTTAAAAAGAAAAAAACCCAGCAACCCACTGTTCCATATGTTTCATGTGCTAAAGAACGTGGAAGCATTCGCAAACCAAGCTTTAATGTTTCCTTTAGTTTCCCATAATAACTGAATCTCTGGAAGAGCTGGATATTTATCTGCAGTATTCTCTCTAGAGAGGTCCCACTTCATCCATGGTGGTTAATATTTTAAAATGTATTAGTCAACGGGGCATAAATTTATTCTACTTAAACTCCTTTAATATAGGAGTTCAAGAGACTCAAACAGATAGTATGATTTAAAACAGGAAGTCCTGCCATTTCCTTCAGGGGAGACTTTTGTTCTCATGCCCTCTTGTATGTTTCCCCTGATCTTTCTTTCTGCCTGTTTTCCTGAGACTTTCTATATATCTTCCCCAAATTTAATAGATTGGGCAGGTATTGTGGAGGTAGAGATAATCTTTTAGACTAGGGCATTCTGCGGGGGTACATCTGTGTGACCATCAATTCAGCCGCCATTATTTTCTCATTCTTCGTTGTTTCCATATATAAAGTGGATATTATTCTTCAGGAGGCTTGGTAGGTTTCCTCCTCTGCTCCCTATTTTTTTTTCCTCATTTGACCCTTTTCTCACTCTAGCTACTGCAAAGATGACCAGAGCCTCCTACCAAATCATCCTGCAGATCAAGTCACTTTAGACCACCTGTACCTTGGAGCATCTTCCGTTACTCACCGAACTATATCTCTTGGTCCTAAAAGAGCTCATCCATCTGCAGTATCTGAAGTCAGTTCACGTAGAGGAAGTAAAGATTTATCTTCATCAAGTGCATCTGTCCACTCGTCTTTCTCTGGAAGAAGACCTTCTTTATTTGTGAAATTTCAGAAAAGTGGTATTTTCCCCAACCGTCAACAAAGTAGAGCCAATTTTGATTCTCAAGAAAAAGGCAGCTTCAGTGATTTAAAATATTCCTCAAACCATTTTGGCGTTAGATCCCAAGGACTTTTCTCAGCCCCTAGACTTAGTATAATTTCCTGTTACGATAGCACGAGTTTTTTTGATCTTCAATCAAGAGGTCATAAAATCTTTAATCCAGATGAAATTGAAGCAGTTTCTAAAAGCTCAAGTATGGCTGGTGCTGAAAAATATTTAAGCCCATGCTCTCCCAAATATAACATTGGGCAATTTATGAGTTTTGAGACAAAAGCTAACTCTTCAACCCATCAGAACGCTGTTGATAGAAGCATCTACCAACACAGCACAGCCACCTTACTTTCTCTTCCAACTCTGATTTCCTATTCCTGTCAACAAAGCGAGATTGCTACTGATCCTGAAGAAAGAGGCCAATCAAGGAAAGTTGACATTCATCCTGGTTCTCAAAATCACCGTATTGATTATTTTCCACCTAGGATGCAACAGCATCCCTCTCAAAGAGTAACTTCCCCTGTTTTTCTGTAATGTTGGATTTTCTTCACTTTATAAAAATGCTACTAGCTTTATCCCACCTCAGAATGACATTGCTTCAGATTCCTTGGAAGATGAAAACATTGCTCTTTCATCTCAGGATGAAGATACATCTTCATCTATTACAGTCCCTAAAATAAGGTGGCCTCAAATTCTGCCTTTTCTTCGAGGGATAGCTCAAAGCAGAAATTTTCCCACCAGGCATACTCCACAGCCCATAGTATTCACTGCTCAGTTCTCACAGAAATCTTGTCTTTCTCAGTTTCACTGCGTTTTTGGAAAAAAGACCTTCACGCTGTAGTCTAAATTTAACTGTAATTGCTGTATTTTTTTTTAAAAGATAGTTTAGTGACATTATTGGAGTTTGGAAGCCAAAGATTATTAATCTGTTTCAGGCTTTTAGCAAATTGACTGCTTACAGATTGTCCACTCTCAAATTTCTGGGTGATGATTGTAATATTTCTGTGATCTGAAAATAACATCAAACATTGATATATAGGTCCTCTAAATTTATGACATTCTTTGAGAGTTTTAACATCTTCTTTAATCCTACTCTAATCATGACGGACAGTTTTCCTGTGTCATCTATGGAGCTATATTCAGCAATTCACAATTTTTCATTTATATTGGCCTTGATAACTGCATTTCTCATGCCAGATACCCCCTGACAGATGATATTTTTACTAATATAAGGATCAAATTATAAATACAAATATGTTATAATGGAAATATGTAGAAAATTTCAATATGGAACCCAGATATTTTAAGTAAATAATTTTCATACACATTTGTGTGTGCATGTCTGTGACTTCAGAGAACTCAGAGTTTTAATAGATTCATAAATTAGTCTTTATTTTAAAAAATTTTTTTAATGTTTATTTTTGAGAGAGACAGAGCTCAAGTGTGGGAGAGGGGGGGAGTGAGGGAGACACAGAATCCGAAGCAGACTGCAGGCTCTGAGCTGTCAGCACAGAGCCCGACGCGGGGCTTGAACTCACAAACTGTGAGATCATGACCTGAGCCGAAGTTGGACGCCCAACCAACTTGAGCCACCCAGGTGTCCCATTCTTTATTTTTAAAAGTGAACATTTTTCATATTTTTTCCAAAATTTTTATTTAAAACATTTTTTATATTTTAAAAAATGTCTCCTGAAATTTTATTTTTGAGTAAATATTTTTCAATTTTTTCCCATTATATTAAAGTTTATAAATATATTTATCAGAATAAGTAATGAATGGAAAATGTATATAGGCAATTAAAAATACTTAAGTTAGAATATAGCTAGTTTTTGCAGAGGAAAGGAATTGGCATCATTTTCAATTAGTTGTCATGATAAAATGCCCCCTAAACCTATTATCATTGGGCTAAGATGTTACTTTTACTTTTGAACTTTTCTCCTCCTTTTAGCATGTATCTTTACAAAATTTGTTTTCTACTTCAGTTTTTTATTTGTGGTAAAATACACATTACATAAAACTTACTGTCTTAACCATTTTTTTTAAAAATATTTTTTATTTATTTCTAGGAGAGAGAGAGAGACAGCGTGAGCAGGGGAGGGTCAGAGAGAGAGGGAGATACAGACTCTGAAATTGGCTCCAGGCTCTGAGCTGGAAGTCAGCACAGAGCCTGACGCGGGGCTCGAACCCACGAACCGCGAGATCATGACCTAAGCGAAAGTCGGACGGTTAACCGACTAAGCCACCCAGGCGCCCCTGTCTTAACCATTTTTAACTTTAGTGACATTAAATATGTTCATATGGTTATGCTACCATTATAACTATTTATGTCCAGAATTTTTTTTCATTTTCCAAACTGAAATTCTGGACCCAATAAACAAGCACTTCCCACTCTCCCATCTGGCAACTCCACTCTTCTACTTTCTGTCTGTGTGGATTTGTTTCCTCTAGGTACCTTAAAGAAGTGGAATTATATGGTATTTGCTTTTTGTAACTGGCTGTTTTTCACTTAGCGTAATACCTTCAGCTGTCATCCATGTTGTAATGTGTCACTTTCCTTATTTTTTAAGGTTGAATGGTATTACTTTGTATGTATATACCACATCTGTTGATCTATGAATGGATACTTTGGTTGCTTCTACCTTTTGGCTATGATGAATGATGCAGCTATGAGCATGGATGTACAAATATCTCTTCAAGGCCCTGCTTGCAGCTCTTTTGATTGTATATCCAGAAATGGAATTACTGGATCATATGCTAATTGTATTTTTAATTTTTTGAGGTACTGCCATGTTTTTTCTATAGCAGCTGCACCATTTTATGGTCCTCCAAGAGCTCACAAGGATTTCAGTTTCTCCACATCCACACCAACACTTGCTCATTTCTATTTTTTGACAATAACCATCCTAACAAGGTGGTATCCCATTGTGGTGTCAATTTCTCTGATGTTTAGTGACACTGAGAATTCTTCCATGTGCTTATTGGCCTTTTGTATATCTTCTTTAGAAAGATATTCCTTCAAGCCCTTTGCCCATTTTTTTTAAATTTGGTTGTCTGCTTTTTGTTGTTGAGTTGTAGGATTTATATATACTGGATACTAACCCTTTGTGAGATATAGGATTTACAAATATTTTCTCCCATTATGTGGGTTGCCTTTCACTCTGTTCATTATGTCCTTTGATGCACAGAATTTAATTTTAATTTTGATGTCTAATTTATTTTAATTTTGATGTCCAGTTTATCTATTTTGCTTCTATTGCCTGTGCTTTTGTTGCCACATCCAAGAAATCATTACCAAATACAGTATCTATGGGGCGCCTGGGTGGCTTAGTCGGTTAAGCGTCCAACTTTCGCTTAGGTCATGATCTCGCGGTTCGAGATCATGGAGCTTCCCATCCACCATCTTGCTGACATCAGTCTCTCTTGGCGTGTATCTTTTGGAAAAAAATGTTGGGGGGAATGAAGTGTTAGGTAAGATTGAACAAAAGGAACTGAGTCAGGGTACCTGATGTGGCCAGGCATGTTTTTGCCTATTCTGATGCAAGTCACTACTAATACACTTTTGTAAATACACTATTTTCATAGAAAATAATGTCATTTTCTCTTTAAATAGTGCAGTGATACCTTTAAAGACACTGTTGTTGCTATTGAAGCAAGTAATTGATTGTGCAGAAGAGATGAAAGGGTAGGAGAAATGGCATAGTTCTTATTCAAGTTGGGAGCAATAAATAGGGCCAGAAAAGTACATGATATGACAAATGTGTGTAAGTAAATTTGACATTTTAAGGTGGGACTCTCCAGACCTGCTAAAAGAGAAAATTCTGACATCAGATATCTATGAACTGATTTTTCCCCGCCTTAGTCCAAATCTGAGCTCTAACCCAAAATGAATACATGTTCGGATTTTCCCAGACCTGTTTAGATATGCCCTATTTTTAAAATTTGCTTTCAAAACTTTTTCATAATTTTTGATAAATGCTTAGTTATAAGTAGAAGATTCCTATCCAAAGTGGGAAAAGAGTTTCCCTACACTTGAGTGTTTCTAAATGTGGGGATAAGGCTAGCCTAGATGTTCTCTTTTGTTTTATTGGCCAGTTTGCCTGTTGTTAGGCCATTACCACATTGACTTCTTATAGTTTTATTCTTCATACTATTGCCCTGATCGCTGTTATTTAAAAGTGTCTTTGTTCTTCTTATACTTGCCCTTCCATCTTGATTTTAGAGTCAGGTAAGTTCCATAGGGGGGAAAGAAACCATTGTGGTTTTGATTGGAATTGCATTAAGGTGTAGTTAAATTTGGGGTTATATGAACTTGGGTTCAATGTTAAGTTTTCTTATCCGTGGTATCTTTTTCTGTTTAATAAGATATTCTTTAATGTCCTCAAATAGTATTTTTGTAATTTTCTATAGAAAACTAAAAACAAAAACCAAAACTCTATGTGTAATTATTTTGTAGGTACTGTGTGTTTTTCCTGCTATTGTAAATGTTATACTTTTTGAAGTTACATTCTCTAACTTGTTTTATAGATATAAGAACATGATTGGTTTTCAAAAATTGATCATAAATGTTGATTAGCTTTGTTTACCTTTTCTTTTAGGGTGTTTTCTATTGAATAAACTCCAAATAATAATACTTCTATTTCTCCTTTCCAATTCTTATGATTTTTGTTTTCTTTTAATATGCTAATAGGATCTGCAGTACATTGATGAATAGAAGCAACATTATTGAACATATAACCTTTTCTATTTCTTACTTTAAAGAGAATGCTTCTAATGTTTCATAATTGTGTGAAATGTATTATAGTTATTGGCATATAACCTTTATTGTGTTCAGAAGTCCCCTTCTATTCCTTATTTCTGGGTTTGGTATTCCTTTGTCCTAAAATGGTATTGAATTTATTGAAAAAAAATTTTTGGTAACCACTGAAATGATCATGCAGTTTTTCTAATTCTATTTATTGTGCTAGAGAAATGTTCTAATATTAAGCTAAGCTTGTAATTCCTGGGAGAAATCCAGTTTGGTTATGATGCATTCCTTCATGTTTGTTGTGGTTTTTGGTTGGTATTTGTGATGTCTCTGATACCTTTGGTTGATATTTTCACGTCTATATTTATGTGTGGAATTGGTCCATAATTTTCATTTCTTCTACTATCTTTGTTTGATTTTGGTGTCAGTTTTACCAGCTTCATAAAAGGAATTAGGAGGTTTTCCCTCTTCTTTTAATTCCTTACAAGAATTTGAATATACCTAGTTCTTTGGATATTTGGTAGAATTCCGCTTAAGAGAAATTGAGTCTCTCTCTCCCTTTCTCTCTTTCTCTCTCAATCTGTGGTGTGTGTGTGTGTGTGTGTGTGTGTGTGTGTGTTGAAATAAATTCTGGTTTAATTTATTCAATGGATATAGGAATATTCACTTTTTTGTTTTTTCTTA